CCCCCCCAATGTGTGTGTGAGTTGCGTGTTTGAGACGTTTTGTGTCTTTGTCACTGAATTTTGTTTGTTTCGTAATTGTTTTGGACTTTTGGTCCGCGTTGTGTTCTTCGTTTTTGTGTGCTGAATTCAACCGTATAAAGAACGTGAAATTTGGATAAACGGTTGGAAAGTTATAGGCAAAACACTGGACAGAGGTCGAAACTGGAAAAATAGAAAAACGAATCTGTCCAAATGGTGATAAAAGGGTGATAGAAAGTGCTGTTTGTGTTTTTCTCTAGTTTTCTTGTATTGTTTCATTTCTTTTACACTTCTTTACTCATTTTTAGTTTCCATTTTGCATTTGTGGTGTGTCAATTAAGTGTTCTTTACGTACTCAAATTAGAACTTATAGGAAGCCGACAAGTGCTTCGTGGGATCGACCCCGTACTTACATAATCTATACTTCAATAGATTCGTGCACTTGCGGGTATTTTTAATTGGTTGTTTGCACATTAATTTGTGTCTCCAAAAACGACCGGTCGTTACTGTTCAGGCGACCGGTCTCACATGAATCTGCCTAAAATGACCGGTCGTCAATGTTCACGACCGGCCGTCACTGTTCATTTTTACTGTTCATAGAACTGTTCATGGTACTGTTCACAGGTGATAAATAGGTGATAAAAGGGTGATAGAAAGTGTTGTTTGTGTTTTTCTTTAGTTTTCTTGTGTTGTTTCATTTCTTTTACACTTCTTTACTCTTTTCTAGTTTCCCTTTTTCATTTGTGCATTTGTGGTGTGTTAAATTAGTGTTCTTTACGTACTCAAATTAGAACTTATAGGAAGCCGACAAGTTCTTCGTGGGATCGACCCCGTACTTACATAATCTATACTTCATTAGATTCGTGCACTTGCGGGTATTTTTAATTGGTTGTTTGCACATTAATTTGTGTCCTTTTAGGAATGCAACAATTTTTGGCGCCGTTGCCGGGGAACTGGCACGGCTGCTTATCTGTTTTGTTTGAGTATGTTTAGAGTACTTAGTTTTATTTTTGTTTATTGATTGTTGTTTCATTTTATCTTGATTTGTTTTTGTTTCTTTTTCTTACAGGAACATCCGAGGAGTCTGGGATCGACCCCGTACTTACATAATCTATACTTCATTAGATTCGTGCACTTGCGGGTATTTTTAATTGGTTGTTTGCACATTAATTTGTGTCCTCTTAGGAATGCAACAATTTTTGGCGCCGTTGCCGGGGAACTGGCACGGCTGCTTATCTGTTTTGTTTGAGTATGTTTAGAGTACTTAGTTTTATTTTTGTTTATTGATTGTTGTTTCATTTTATCTTGATTTGTTTTTTTTTTGTTTCTTTTTCTTACGGGAACATCCAAGGAGTCACCTTCACCATCACCAATGGCAGCCGCAACTGAAATTGTGGAACTTACTATGCAAGAATACTCCAATAAATTTGGGATGGAGGAAGCAAATGCTTTTGGCTCATTTCAGAATGAGTTGACTATGAATGAATATTTCCAACAAACATACAATCCGGAGTGGAGAAATCATTCGAACTTCTGGTGGACCGACAATCCAAATTTTCAACAAGAGCCATATCAACCATATCAAGGCCAACATCATATTTGTCCACCTCATGATCAACCTCAACATTACACTCCACCACAATCTTACCAACAACCTCATGGGCCGACTTTGGAAGAACTTGTTGCTTCAATGGCTAGAAACACAGATAGTTTCATCAATGAGACAAAAAGCTACACACAGAGGAATGACACCCACATGCAAAAGAGAGATAATGCCATAGCCAATCTAGAAAATCATGTGGGGCAAATTGCCACATCTTTGAGTCAAATGGAAGCAGGGATGATGCCTAGCCAAACAGTGATACCAACCGAGCATGAGCATGTTCAAGCAATTATCTTGAGAACTGGTAAGGTAATTTGTGAGGTTAATAATTCTGAAAGTCTAATTAAAATTGATGATGAGATACAGGTTGAGCAAGTGATTAGGCCTAAGGAAAAAGATGAAATCAACATGGAGGAAAATAAACAAGCAGCATCTTCACCTGAGTGGATCCCAAAGCATGAAATTGCAAGAAGGGCAAGAAAGGAAAAGGTACGTCATGAACCTACTGATGAAGATATCTTACGTGCTCCTTTTCCTCACAGGTTGATGGGTTCTAAAAAAATTCAACACGCCATGGACATATTGGAAATCTCCGGAAAAGTGCAAGTCAACATTCCTCTCTTGGAGGATTCAAAGTTCTTGAAGGATCTTTGTACCAACAAGAGGAACTTCAAAGATGATGAAACGGTTGCACTAACGGAAGAGGTTTCTGCTGTTTTACAAAGGAAGCTCCCTCCTAAGTTACAAGATCCAGGAAGTTTTACAATTCCTTTACTAGAGGAAGATAAGCTCAACATCCATGTTCTAAGCACCAATCACATGTTCAATGTCATCCTTTCTACTCAAGTGAGAAGGCTACCTAATCCTAAATATGTGCCTCCTCCATCTAATCCACGTATTGAAGAGCGCTTAAAATTACTTTTGAAATCTACTCATGTGGGTAAAAAGAAAAGAATACGAAAGGGGTTGATTAGATGGCAAAGAGATTTGAAGAAACTTCATGTTCGGCACAAGGAGGCAATTGAGCCAAAACCTCCCAAATGACCACAGTATGTTGGAAGTCCGGCAAAAGACTTTAAACTTAGCGCTTCTTGGGAGGCAACCCAAGGTGAATAGAAGAAGTTTGTTGTCGTCCTAATCGCTTCAAAGTGGAGTTTCTCTAGACTCAAACTTTATTTTATTTTATTTTATTTTGAGTTAGGGTTCCAAGCCAACCAAGGTAAAGTTTCATTTTTTTTTTCTTGTTCTTTCTCTTTGATTTTCTAACTCTAATTGTTTTTCTTATTACTTTTTCTTGTTTCTAACTTGTTTTTCTTTTGAATTGTGGCATATTTGTGCATAATTGTGGTTAATATTCTGGCATTGTGGTTATTTTTTTTTTGGGTATAATTGTGGCATATTATAAGTTTGGGAAATGTTTTCAAAAACACCGTTTTCCCTCGCTTTCGGACCGAAGCTGTTGTCCCAGTCGAAATCAACGCACCCACGTGCAGAACGGCATCTTATGCCCCGGAGCAAAACGAAACACTGCTTACCCTGAACCTTGATCTCATCGAGGAACATCGTTCACAAGCGCAGCTTCGAAATGCCGCATACAAACAACGAACTTCCCGATATTACGATTCGCGCGTCAAACGCCGATCATTCAAAGTGGCGGACTGGGCCTTGCGCAAAATCTCTATGGCCACCAAGAACCCTAACGAAGAGACCCTCGACCCTTCATGGGAAGGACCTTATGAAGTTGTCACCATCTGCCGACCTGGCACTTACCGATTACACGATATCGATGGGCAGACCCTTGGTCACCCTTGAAACGTAGAACACTTGAAGTATTACTACAAGTGACTAAACCTACTATGTAAACCCACTATGGTTGCTTTCATTATAAAAGTACTTTCGGCATTGATGTTCGTATTCCTATTCTACACATTCAGTAATGCCATAACGGTAGTACGGTACCCATAATATATTACCTACGGCATGCATACTTGTATTAGAATATGAAACTTCAACAGATAACCGAATAAAAACAAACTTGGATAAAAAGCCACAAAAGGGCTGTATGTCTTAGCAAAAATCGACATTCGGCATGGTCCAAATATTTACACAGAAACAAAAGAAATCAAAATAAACCGGTTTCTAAGCAACGGGAGGTTCGGCATCAGTTGCCATGGCACCGGCTTTGGCGTTCGCAGGTTCAGCACTAGTTGGCGTAGCGGCGGCAGGAACGCTGGCAGAAGTCGGTACAGGATGGCCCTCTTCCTCCTCACTGCTGGAGTCGGTCTCATCGGCAGAATCAACATCGGCATCTTCTCCCTTATAGGCCTCCACCATCTCCTCGGTGACACCCTCAGGCAATGGAGGTGGATCCCGGAGGAAGTTCAGGTTCAGCCTCTTATCCGCATTGTACCGCTTGAAACGGTAGACGAGGTCGTCACACTGTTCCATGACTTCCTTGTCCACCAGCACCGTGAACTCTTCCAAAGATCGGTAGTCTGCCAAGGCTTTCGCCTTAGCCTCCTCCACCTCCTTTGCCCATGACCACTTTGCCGCGTCCATTGCCACCTCCACCGCTGCCTTAGCCTCTTGGGCCTCCAGCACCGCCAATTCAGCAGCAGCCAGCTTCGACGAGAGCTCGGCGATCTTCGCCGCATTTTCCTCGGCATCGTGGATAAGCTTCCCGGCTTCGGCAATTTTGGCTCAGCTTTCCTCGAACTTCTTCTGGTACCGTTCGGCATTGTTTACGGCTCGCTTCATTCAAATCCACATCTCCATATCAGCCTGCCAAACAACAAAAGTTTAGTACACGCCGAACACACAAACACTTGAAAATGCAAAACACTACAACACTTACCGCAGCCTGAAGCCGGAAAGCTCGACCGACAGCTGCTCCAGCTCCGTGAGCTCCATCTGTGCCCCATCGATCATACAGTTCACGAACGGCACGTCCTTTCGTGGAACGGCAAAGTTAACTGGCTCGGCATCCGGCCCTTCCTCATCGCCAGTGATCAGAGTGGCTGTACCCTTATCCGGCCCCCTTGGTTTCTTGGGCAAAGGCGTCACATCGAGGGCACCATCGATCAGCCTCTTCCCTGTCACCTGCAGGTGGACCTCACGAACAACATCGGCCTCCACCGCCCTCTTCCCCCTGCGACGATCGGCTACGGTCACATCATCCCCCTAAGCTCCTCTGGCCGAACAGGGAGGCTTCGTCTTCGATCCAGAAGATCCACCCTTCTTCTTCTTCTGCTCAGGCGCACGAGACTCCAGCCGCCTCCTCGTCGCCTCATTCATCGGCCTTCCTCCTGCCACTGCATAAGCAAACAGGTCAATTAGGAAACGGCCTACAGAAGGGAGAAAACACACAGGTTGCCGAACGACATCCCTTACTCTTTTTTCTCTCCTCTTCCTCGTGTTTCTCCTTCTCCCTTCGAGTGTGCTCGGCTCCAGTGATCAAGCCTGCCTTATGTAGATTACCGAAGTCTAGCAGGTCCTTCCAAAAGCGATCACCTTTGGCAATCTTCTCCCGCACGCGCTCAATCGCCTCAACGTCTCTCTTCGGCGCAATAGGCCATTTCAAGGACACTGAAATAAAAGACAACACAGGTTAGCTTCGGCAGCTAGTGAATAAAACTTCAAGCAACAACAAATTACCGAACGGCACTCTGTTGCCTACCAACTGTTTGAAACGTGGTGGGAATGTGCCTCTCAACTACAACCCCTGGTGCTGATTCCCAAGCTCCGGACACCAACACCCAACGCTTATGCCAGGTCTTCTTGGAGCTCGACACCTCAACTACAAAATGCCCCTTCTGACTGGCCGCCAAGCAGTTCGATTGTACCCACCCTCCCTGGTCAGCACTCTTCGCCCTCATCACGTTGTACAAATTAACGAACTGCTCATAGCTCGGCTCGCCCTCACCAGCTATGCCGAAGGCTGTAATCGTCCCAAGCAGCGTAATCCAGAAGTTCGGATTAAACTGCCCTGGCGCATAACCAATCTGAGCCAAGATCTTCTGCACCGAATGCCTCAACGGCAGCCGAAGCCCGTGCTTGAAGACATCGGTGAAGAAACAAACCTCAGTCTCTGGATTGCTCAAGGACTCCAACGGCCCCGGAATCTGCATCACCACAAAATCCGGTATGTTGTACAGAGCCCGAATCTTGGCTAGCTCAGCCACGGTCAGCGCATTCGGCTCTAGATGGTCTACTCCGAAGACTGGACCCTTCGGCTTGGCCATCGGCACTCGCTGCCTGCCCTTGACAACGCTCAGCACTCCCTCCCCAGGGGCAGCTACCGAGACATCAGCCTCAGTCGCTTCCAACACACGACCGGAAGTCGATGGTGGACCATTACCCACTTCAATCACCTCAACACTCGAAGAGCTCCCAGAATCGACACTCTCACGCTCCTCGGTGGAGCTCCCCGAGGACGATTCGTCCACCTATGCCCTCGGACTACGCCTACTCTCGGATTCAGTATCTGACATCTACAAACACAAACGAAGGGAAACTAAATGCCATGCTAGAATCAAACTCCCATCCCAAATCCTAAAAGTTCATGTTCATCTACATTCATACATGTTCATGCAACAAATTCAACATTTTGATTCATCATCAAGGAAAACACAGCAGCATACCTTGTTTGCACGGTGGTTGCTAGTCGCCGGAAATCGCCTCCGCCACGTATCCTTCGTCGGAAATCGCCTACAACGCCTTTGCACAGTCGCCGAAAATCGCCTCTCACAAGCTCTGATTGCTCTAAAAAACTTCCAAGTATTCCAACTATAGTCCCTCCCTCACATTTATAGGACAAACCTAGCATCGAAAAACGAAGCGACGCATCGGGATACGAAACGACGCGACCTTTCGCAGCCCTGCCGACACGTGGCACGCATGCACAGGGAAGTCCAACCGTCAAAACCCGAAACGTTTCAAATTCTCATACGCTGCAGCTTTCGCCCTTTTTCGAAGCGCAACTCCACCAGCGAATGGCAGGCGCACATTGTTGAGTTTTCATTCACCTCTCGTGCCGAACGGTAGGCGCACATTGATGAGTTCTCACTCACCTCTCGTGCCGAACGGCAGGCGCACATTGTTGAGTTCTCACTCACCTCTCGTGCCGAACGGTAGTTGCACATTGATGAGTTCTCACACACCTCTCGTGCCGAACGGCAGGCGCACATTGTTGAGTTCTCACTCACCTCTCGTGCCGAACGGTAGTTGCACATTGATGAGTTCTCACACACCTCTCGTGCCGAACGGCAGGCGCACATTGTTGAGTTCTCACTCACCTCTCGTGCCGAACGGTAGTTGCACATTGATGAGTTCTCACACACCTCTCGTGCCGAACGGCAGGCGCACATTGTTGAGTTCTCACTCACCTCTCGTGCCGAACGGTAGTTGCACATTGATGAGTTCTCACACACCTCTCGTGCCGAACGGCAGGCGCACATTGTTGAGTTCTCACTCACCTCTCGTGCCGAACGGTAGTTGCACATTGATGAGTTCTCACACACCTCTCGTGCCGAACGGCAGGCGCACATTGTTGAGTTCTCACTCACCTCTCGTGCCGAACGGTAGTTGCACATTGATGAGTTCTCACACACCTCTCGTGCCGAACGGCAGGCGCACATTGTTGAGTTCTCACTCACCTCTCGTGCCGAACAGCAGGGGCATATTGATTAGTTTTTCACTCACCTCTCAGGCCGTTCGGCATTCCCTGCTGTCTCTTTTCCAAACTCCCTGGCTCGGGGACTTGGGGGACTACATGACCACCATCGGCAAGCCACGAAGGCAGGAACGAAACCATCACGCCCGGGATCAAAATATCGAAGACACATTCAAGTCCCCAACCAAGAAGTCACTCTCAATCGAAAACTTGGGGGACTACTGTTTGTACCATATCTGACCCTACACTCATACCGTGACACGTGGAATGATAACCTCCCCCAACATTTGGCATCGGCTACCGATCAACATGCAAAAGCCTACAATCGGCATGCATCGAAGATTCTGCGGAACCAACCTCGAAGGCCGCGCCTAGATATCCACAGACTCGTGTCGACCTCAGAAGGCCCTCCCACGAGTCCCACATCGAAACTAAGTGCTAAGAGCATCCCAAATGCCCTCTATATATAAGCCCCTTCACTATAGACAAGGGGTAAGACTTTTCAGCTTGACTTTTATGCTAAATACATTGTCAGTGGCAAAAGCTCTTGGAAAGAAACTTACTTCGGCATCGGAGGGTCTTAGGCTGGTTCCACACCAGTACCATAGACCTCACGAGCCTCGGCTTCCCTTGATTCAGGATCGGCGTCCGAGAACGGGAAGAACCTGCGCCAAGCACTCAATCGATCCCTGATCGTCCACATCACCTGTAAGTTGCACCTATCTCTATCTGTTCAGTTTTAGTGCCAACATAATGTCTTCAATATTTTTATTTATTATTATTAGATTGAGATTTCATAAGAACGTGCCACAGCCATATGGGGACAGACTCTCTTTGTCACAGGAGGAGGAGCTACCTCTTTTGCTTTATCCTTCTCTCGTTTTTTCCTTATTATGTGTATTGTGAATGAGCCTTGTTTACTGTATGCTGGTCAAGCTGACACTTCGGTCATAGGTGGCCTAATGATGAAAGAGTGAGCACGAAGCTAGGTTTAAACTACGGACATCGTAACACCAGAGTTTTACCTAATAAGCGTATTCATATATATTGTATTGTTCTTTATTATGGAGGTATTTATAAAGAAGTACAAAGATATATTAACTCTAAATACAATAGGAAATAATTCTGAATTACAATAGGACTAAATAAATAGGTAAGGAGCCAAAATCCTCACTATAGAATTTCGCAAGGAAGCACCATTCATTTGTCAAACTACTTGGACACAAAATGCTTAAAGCTGTAGAGCCTTTTTTACTAAGATATAATACAAAATGCCAATCTCAATTTAACTTTTGAACTCTGTGTTTTGTGTCCAGAAAAGGAAGATTAGAAAGATTTGTTTTACTCGTTGACCATAGCGGAATGAAAGATTTGTTACTTTACTTTAAAAGGGAAAGATAAAAGTAAAATAATCTGCAGACAAAATGTTCTGAGTCTTAAATAATTTCTTGCTTATAGACAAGAAACATTTGCAAATATTTTAATAGGCTTGAATTGAGTGTTTTTGTTATTGATGTGATGTGAGCACCGGCTCGGAACACTCTCATTTTAGTGCGTAAGCTTTCATATCACTAGGCTACTTAAAGAATTCCATAACCCAAAGGTTACAGACAAAACATTCATATCTGATGCCACTAAATCCAGCACCAGTTGCCAGGGCCATGAATTCTTGTTCCCTCCTCTCCTTCGCTCCCGGAATTTGAGCCATCATAATCACATCAAGTTGGGAAGTGCATTTCACAGCAGTGCGAGTATCTGGCATAGCTGGAAGTAGTTCTTCCACAACAATCACTTTTCCATTGTCTGGAATAGCTTTGTAACAATTCTTCAACAGCTTTAGGCAGTGCTCGTCGCTCCAATTATGAAGTATCCACTACAAACAAATGTATCAGAAGACAAGTAGAACAGCTTCATATATATAGTTACCATTGTTAAACTAAAAGAAGAAAACCAAAAATTTAATTAATGTTTGAGAAATTCAAAATTACCTTCAGAAAAATGGCATCCCCACTTGGAACACTAGCAAACATGTCTCCTCCAACATGTTCCACACCTGGAAAAAAAATTTACCTCCCATTTTATGCTGCACACTTCCGATGAAGCAAAAACTAAGATTTCACATTGAATCAAATAAATTAAAGTCCTACCAGGATAGGAAGGGGCATGATTTATGACATGGGGCAAGTCGTAATTGATACCCCTTATATGGGGATATCTAGATGTGATCAGATTAATGATCACTCCAAAGCCACCACCAACATCAACAAGTTGTGTGAGGTTCATGTCTTGAAAACCCTTGTAGATGTGAAGAAGTTTCTTGATGACAATGGTAGTGTGGTTAAACATTCCTGTGTTGAACACTTGATTAAACCTGGGGTCCAAACCTAGAAACTCAAAAGTTGGCATGCCATGGACCCTGTTGAATGGAATTCCTCCTTCAACAACTGCATCTTTCAGTTGAGACCTGTAGATTTATTATGTGTAGAAAGTTGGAGTTAGATACCCTATTAGTATTGTAATAAGCACAAACTATGTGAGTTGTTTCTTTGACTTGGGGAACTTAATAAAATTTGAATTATATAGGGCCTTTCTTCTATTATTGGGTGAACCATTTATAATTTTAATAGTTACTTCCCTAGCCAAGATCCCATACTGACTTTAATTATGCCATTTTAAGGAATGAGATTGTCTGTAAATTTTGGTATAATAATAGTGAATATGTCTCCTTACACCCGACTTCGATCATTCTCCCATAGTTTTCTAGTTTCTTCATTATACTAATTTTTTTATATATCATAATGTGTATTGCAAGTGCCAGTACATTAATCAAGCTTAAATAGATAAAAAGGGTCAAGAGATCAGGGACACACAAAAGGCTACACTTCTTGACACGCCTTTTCAGCCTTTAGATGTTTCTTCATCCAACAGTTGAAAACACATCTGATAGCTCATTTATTATTTTACTGGTGTCATTAACCCATTGCACACAGTACGAGACTATCTCTACATTAGGAGATAATTTTTTTTTTTTCCTACAGAGAGAAACTCTCATATAGCGGGGATAACACTTTTTGCTATCCCTGGCCAATAACATAATGACACATGGGATAACTTATCAACAACGTCATTGTATTATTGGCATGGAAAAGCAAAACAGTGTTATCCCCGTTACAATAAAGTATTTTTCTTACATTAGCTTTATATTCTCTTCCCACTCATTTATACCAACCATTTTCTCTCTCTAACTATTCAAAACAACCATTTCTTTGTCACCAGTTTTTCTTTCTTTAAAGCACTCGTTCCACTCTGTAAAAGTAAGAAGAAGACGAAGATAATGTAATTCTGTGATTCCTTCTGCCAACGAAACCTTTGTATTATGAAGTCCAAGCCTCACCCTCACACAACTAGCCTTCAACTTATTTAAAAAACAGAATACAAAGTGATCAAAGAGAAAGAGGACCCATTGAAATCACATAACATGCTATGTAGCAACTTATGGCTCGTTTGGTACGTAAGATTGTACTGACTAAATGTCTTCATAAATATATGAATTGTTTTTTAAATGTCATATTTTTTGAACTCTAAAGGCTGAAAAGGTATGTCGAAAAGTGTGGCTTTTTGTGTATTCCTCCATCCCGACTCTATGAAAAATTAGTAATAAATGAATAAAGGAGGAAAGGAAAGAGGATAACTTATTGGGCTTCTTAGATCTAGGTCCAAAACGATTAGCTGTTATTGGGTTTAGTCCTCGCGTTTGTGGTTTTAGATGAAGGTCCTTTGACATTTATTACTTTTTTTGTTGTGTCGATTTTACCTTTTGAGGTAAATAAGGAAAACACATTGAAAATCTAAATTTAATGCATTATTTCCTTGTAATTGAATTCTTTCCTTGATAATATTCCTAATATATTGATAAAATAAAATTTAATCAATAAAAAATAAAGACCCACATATTATACCAATCGATCAGACAAGCACTCACATTAAATTATGTACCTGACATAAAGGTAAATAGTGTTATTATTAGCAACGAAAAATACCTAGTCATAAATCGTGTTACCTATAAGTTAGGAACATAAATTAGAAGACTGCCTATAAGTCAGATGCAAAAAATAGACAAAATAAAATTGTATGTTACCTATATAAAAAAAATAGGTACATAAAATACTATTACACATTGTCAAAAATATGAAAAAACATATATATACCTATGCAATAGGCAATAGGCAATAGGCAATAGGCAATATGACATAAATCACTATTACCCGATTCAAGTCATAAAAGGCAACATTGGAAAAAAAAATGATTTTAAAAATAAAATAATATAAAGATTACATAATAAAATATTAAAATAGGAATGTAATTTTATGTGGCGCAAAAATCAAAGGACTTGGATCAAAGTCACCAAATCCAATGATTAAACCCAACTCTTCAATAGGAATTTGGATATATATCAATTTTTCTGTAACTTATTTAGTAGCAAGCCAAAGAGGACTAAACTAACCAGCTTTCCGTGAAGACCTTGTCTTGAGTCAATGTCAACAAGGGGCCTAGAGAACCACCTTCATCATCATTCACAAAGTACTTGGATACGGGGCCAAGGCTATAGACCCTCTGAAAATCAGACGCACCATTTTCATCCTCATTAGCAGCAACAAGAGAGCAATGGAGAACAGAGTGGCTGGTGAGGAGCCTGAGGATCCTATCCATCATCATGGGTGCCTCAGAATTCTTGGTGCCAATCTTGGCTGCGATCTCAGACGAAGAGAGCTTCGCGCCTGGACCCTCTCTGGCTATGATGTCAAAAACGCCAAGCTCAATTGCTGATTGCAGAGCTATGGACAGCGCAGAAGAACCCACCAACTGCAGGGCATAGCAAAAGCTTTCTTCTTCCTCTTCCTTTCTAATTTCATCCTCAGTCTCAACATGATTTATTTTGGGATGGCTTTTCCTTTCCAATGAAGAAGCCATTGTTGAAGATATAAAAGTCCCACGTTCGAAACTTACTAAATAAATTACAATTTATATAAGTGGTTCCACTCCTAATAACACCGAGATTTTTGTGATAAAACTCCACACCTACTTGGTTTTGTAGGTGATTAAGTAGAGTACAATATCAGTGCTGCTAAAAGTGGGCTGCTAGCCTGTCTATGAAATTTAACATATATTTATGAAATAAGGTATGCCTAACTTATGTTCTACCTAAATTATGAAATAAGGTAGTTGTCAATGTTGATTTGACTCAACATTAAACCACTCAATTGAAAAGTCGACCAAACCTTGAGCTCTTTCCTTGGCGCAATTCATCACGGCTTGATGGTGTACGCTCGTATAGCGAAAAAATATAAAATGGCTTATCGATACTTTTTATTGAATATATAAATTTCAGGGAAGCTTTGACGCAGAAGAGTAAAGACACATACAAATATATAATTGGGAGCGGCTAGAGCAAACCTGAAAAGTAATGCTGCTGAGATATGAGAAGAACTTGTGGTCGGTTTTTGAAGCTTATACATACATATGTGTATATCTGACAGCATTGTTCATAAATATGTGAACATCATTTTGTTTGCATAAGCTTATTCTAACCAAGGTTATAAATGTACTTTGTCTTCATTTTGTAATTCATATCATTACGGTTTTTCTGTTACTTTAGAAGGGAAAGATCAAAGTAAATTAAGTAAAATAATCTGCCGACTTTATGTGCAGTTCTGAGTTTGAGTCAGGGGCAATCCTACCCTAAGGGCAGGGTAGGCAGCCGCCTAATCCATTTTTGGCCAAACCAAAAATTACCCAATACCCAACACAATTAAATTGCTTCTGCATAGTCAAACCCGACCCACCAGGGGCCGTCCTACCCTAAGGGCAGGGTAGGCAGCCGCATACTCCATTTTCGGCCAAACCAAAAATTACCCAATACCCAATACAATCAAATTTACTCTACCTACTCAAACCCAACCCACCTGGGGCCGTCCTACCTAAGGGCAGGGTAGGCAGCCGCCTACTCCATTTTTTGCCAAACCAAAAATTACCCAATACCTGTGGTTGATTGAAGAAAAGGGAAGGATTCTGAGGAAATGGAGAGAGGAAGAAAGAGCCTTCATCCACAGAGGAGCATGTGCATGCCAAATTCTCTAGAGAAAGAAAGAAAGGATTCTGACTATTTCAAGATTTTAGATTGGTATATACTCTTTTGTAGTTAGGCATAAAACCTAGGTTTTCTTTCCCTCTCCCGCCTTATTCTCTTCTCTGTTCGCTCTCTCCCAAACGACATTGTACGATCCGAATTCAATGTTTTTTCTTATGTGATGGTACTTTTTCTCTTCACTATCTGTATATTGATTTTATCAATTCGTGTACCAGTTCATCTTTACTCCTAGAGTTCTATTTCCATCAGATTGTTATGCTTTCCTTTATCTGAAGCAATAGATATATGATTCTGGTATATTTGATTGTATTCGTGGTAGATATATGATTCTGGGCTTCCAATTGTTGTGGTTGGCGTCTGGTATTATCTGTAGTATTGTATGAGTTTTTGGCTTCTTTTTTCCCCTTTCAAAAGTACATTCTTAAGGTGTTTATTAAGGATTCTTTGGTCTTCTTGATGAGAAAATGTTTAGCAATTTGACCATTAATTGCCATTTAATTTGACAGAGTATCCGAATGGCAAACCCGGCGATTGTACGCTCCCATACTGTGAATGGTGTTTCCAAAGTACATTCAGAATTGCTAAAAGCAAAATAATTCAAGGTACTATATATGTGTTCCTTGGATTGTTGTCTTTTCCCTTGGCTTATGACAAAGTTGAAGATATCCAAATTCTTATGATACCTTAAATTAGGTCATCTGACACCTCTTCTCTTTCACAGGACTTCTAGGAGCTGTGGCCTCCGAAATTTCAATGCAAGACAAATGGTGTTACCCGGGTATAATGTTCATAGCATCTTTTATAATGTAATTGCTAGTTTCATTAGACTATTCCTTCTGTTTATGTGGTTGAAGAAGAATGGTGAAATACACACCTCCAAAGATGGGTTTTGATGGGTTTTGTAGTTTGTGCTGTTATAGTTATCAAATAGAGCTTATGGAGCAGAGTGTTCCAAAGAGTTAATTAAGTAAAATAATCTGCAGACTCTGAGTCTTCAATATTTTCTTGCTTATGGATAAGAAACATTTGGCAATCTTTTATTAGGCTTGGAGACTTAACACCTTCATTTTAGTGTGTAAGTTTTCGTATGCTTTGGTTACTTAAAGAACTCCATAACCCAAAAGTTACAGACAAAACATTCATATCTGATGCCACTAAATCCAGCACCAGTTGCCAGGGCCATGAATTCTTGTTCACTCCTCTCCTTCCCTCCTGGATTTTGAGTCATCATAATCACATCAAGTTGGGAAGTGCTTTTCACAGCAGTGCTAGTATCTGGCATAGCTGGAAGTAGTGCTTCCACAACAATCACTTTTCCATTGTCTGGAATAGCTTTGTAACAATTCTTCAACAGCTTTAGGCAGTGCTCATCGCTCCAATCATGAAGTATCCACTACAAACAAATGTGTCAGGAGACAAGTAGAACAGCTTCATATATTTAGTTACCATTCTTAAACTAAAAGAAGATAACCAAAAATTTAATTAATGCTTGAGAAATCCAAAAATTACCTTCATAAAAATGGCATCCCCACTTGGAACACTAGCAAACATGTCTCCTCCAACATGTTCCACACCTGCAAAAAAAAATATTTAACTTCCATTTTATATATGCTGCATACCGCTTCCGTTGAAGCAAAAACTAAGATTTCACATTGAATCAAATAAATTAAAGTCCTACCAGGATAGGAAGGGGCATGATTTACAACATGGGGCAAGTCGAAATTGATACCCTTTATATGTTGATATTTAGATGTGATCAGATTAAGGGTCACTCCCAAACCACCACCAACATCAACAAGTTGTGTCAGGTTCTTGTCTTCAAAGCCCTTGTAGATATGAAGAAGTTCCTTGATGACAATGGTGGTGTGGTTAAACATTGCTGTGTTGAACACTTGATTAAACCTGGGGTCCAAACCTGGATACTCAAAAGCGTGCATGCCATAGACCCTGTTAAATGGAATTCCTCCTTCAACAACAGCATCTTTCAGTTGAGACCTGTGAATTTATTATGTGTAGAAAGTTGGAGTTAGATACCCTATTGGCTATTTGTATTATAATTAGCACAAACTATGTGGTTTGTTTCTTTGATTTGGGGAACTTAATAAAAGTTGAATTATTAGGGCCTTTCTTCTATTATTGGGTGGACAACCGTGTATAATTTTAGTAGTTACTTCCCTAGCCAAGATTCCCAGACTGACTTTAATTATGCCATTTTAAGGAGTGAGATTGTCTGTAAATGTGGGTATAACAGTGAGTCCGTCCCCTTACGCCCAAGTTCAATCATTTTCCGGTAGTTTTATGGTTTCCCCATTATACTAATTTTAATATAATCATGTGTAATGCATGTGTCAATATGTTAATCAAACTTAAATGTATAAAAACATAAGTAAAAAAATAAAAAATAAATGAATAAAGGAGGAAAGGAAAGAGGATATAATTAATTAGTAGTAGGTTCAAGAGAGCTTAAACAAACCAGCTTTCGATGAAGACCTTGTCTTGAATCAATGTCAACAGGGGGCCCAAAGAACCACCTTCTTCATCATTCACAAAGTACTTAGACACAGGGGCAAGGCTGTAGACCCTCTGAAAATCAGACCCACCATTTGCAGCAACAGCAGAGCAATTAAGAACAGAGTGGCTGGTGAGGAGCCTGAGGATTCTATCCACCATCATGGGTGCCTCAGGGTTCTTGGTGCCAATCTTGGCTGCAATATCAGACGAAGAGAGCTTGGCCCCTGGACCCTCTCTGGCTATGATGTCAAAAACCCCAAGCTTAATTGCTGATTGCAGAGACATGGACAGCGCAGAAGAACCCGCCAGCTGCATGGCATAGCAGAAGCTTTCTTCTTCCTCTTCCTTTGTAATTTCATCCTCAGGCTCAGCATAATTTATTTTGGGATGGCTTTTTCTCTCCAATGAAGAAGCCATTGGACTATCTATATTTACGTTCTGAAACTCATTGCTAGTGGAATGGGTTTACTTATAGCTAGGTAACGTAACATACAATTCACGTGGGTTTACTTGAGTATATAATATCAAGACAGTTGGAATACCAATTTAGAACTATATTGTTAATATTTTGTTGAGTTAAGACTCTATATTGTATTTCAATTAATCGGGCTATCTATGTTTTAAGTATTCCCTCAAAGATTATCTCGATAAAATAATTGTTATTTTAATATTATTTTTGTTGATCACAACTACATGTCTTAATGTTTTTAATTTGTTCTGATCTTTTAAGTAAAATTCGCAGCAAGCCACACAAGATGTCCATTATATCAAGAATCCGTCTATAGGAGGAGACTTGTACCTAATATGTTAACTTTTCCCAAAGCGACAATGTATCATCAAGGATGGTATATGCCTATATGGTAACCAATTACCAAACAAATTAGGTGTTGAGTGATTGAAGTGATGACTCGACAAAGTGGCAGTGCCAAAGTACCCCATAGCATGATGCACGCCTAAATTATGTTTCACGTGGTACTTTATTAGTGGAATTTGGAAAGATGATATTTTCACGTGGTACTTTATTAGTGGAATTTGGAAAGATGATATTTTACACATGCATATGTGAATTAGACAAAGGCTCTGAGTCAAGAAGATTGATAATATTATCTTTTGCTCCGTCCACTTAGGTTGCAAATGCATGTTTTTCATGCTAACCTATTAAATTGGTTTTGCTGATTGGCTATTTTAGAAAATGGTTTTTCTTAATCTCTACTTAATTGGCTAATTTTGCATGCTCACCAATATTAATCTCGATATGATCAAGACATGATCTCAGCTGTGATGTATATAGTCTGCAGATTTTGCTACTAAATTTAGTTATAGCAGTTTATGAAGTGAGGATATAATTTAAAACATCTTTGACATTTTCATCAATATATATCGCCAATTAATTTTGAGTTTGAAGTTCGTATTCTAATATATTTTAACAATTTTTCGACGACTTTAAGCAACACGGCACCTTCATGAAAATGGCATCCCGTCTACTTAATCATATTACAAAAATTCAACTGTAGGGGAATCAAAAGAAATGCTTTGACCATATAAAATGTTGACAGAGTAATGAATTAATAAAGAAAGTCTTACTAATTACCAGCAGGGCATGTATGAAGGGGCATTTCCTATGCTAGCATATAGTTTTTATTGATCTTTGAATGGATATCTACAAAATAGCCACTTTGAATTGCGGAGTAAATCCTACAAGAGTGTCTCTCAAATAAACGGGCATAGCATCTTCTTGACTCAAAGGTTTTGTCTAATTCACAAATGAATAGTTTATCATAATAACATTAAATAGGTCACACGCGCTATGCAAGTGTAAAAGAATAACAGTTTATGAAATAAGGATATAGTTGTCAAATGATGGTTGACGATGGCAGTTTGGTAAATAACATATAGATAACTAACCATGCCTTTCTAGCTAGCTACTTAAAGAATCCATAACCCCAAGATCACCGGCAAAGCATTCATACTTGACTTGATGCCATTAAATCCAGCACCAGTTGGTAAGGCCATCACCCATGATGATGAGTTCTTTCTTGCTATGCTTTTTCACTCTCAACCACGATTGCTTTTCCATTATATGAAATTGCATTGCACTGTGTTAAAAGAGTGTGAATTCCACGTCGGGGAATTAAAATCTTGCCTAATTGTTTACAAAATCTTTAATATTTTCATCAATTACCAATTGATTTTGAATTTTATGTTAGCATTCTAATAGTATATATCGTAACTACAAACCAAAGTCTAACATTTCATTGGCACCAAAGAACAAACAAAGTAAGAATAGTATTGTCTACATTGTTACACGTAGACAATATTTGAAGAATAAATTTAAGGGAGTTTCACTAAAATACCCAAAATGGGGGCTGAAATTATAAAAATACCCAACACCCAAAACACTTTATAAACATACCCAAAACTCATCATTACACACACTCAAAACCCATTTATAAACATACCCAAAACCCATCATTACACACATACCCAAAACCCATTTTGGGTATGTTTCTATGTTTAAATAGTGCTTGAGTATTTTTATAAATACATGTCTAGGATTGGGTATTTTTATAAATATCTAAATTAGTAATTCAATCAAGACTTCGATGAAAATAGAGCATATAAATAAATAAATAAATAAATATATATATATATATATATATTAACATCAGTAGATCGGCCTTGAATGTCTATAAGATCAGTAGAGTTACCGCATTACTCATGTTATTTTAGTTTTTAATATTAACAATTATTCTTCATAAAATTCGAACTTAAGACTTCTTCAAACCAATATAAAAATTCAGCGACATTAGAGCAAATGATGATTGACTTTTATTTATTTATTTTGTTGTGATAAATTGATTGTACCAAAAACCAAAATATACATACAAACCCAATTCAATCAAGAATTGAATGTCTGAAAAAAAACAAACCAGTGCTGTCTTGAATCTGTTACCCAAAACGATTGGAGGCCCAAACAGAATACACTCTTATAACGAGTAGATTACACTCTTATTTTTAAATTCCTTGTCGCAATTCACCACTGCTCGATGGAGTACACTCTTATAACGATCATTACTAACAACCTGAACAAAATTTTTAAAAAAAAAAAAAAGTTTTTTCCAATAAGACAAAGTAAACTAGAACTTGCCCTGGGTAAACAGAAAAGTAAATGGTGCTACCTGGTACTATTTCTTGATTCATAGTTGACTACAACCATGAAAAGTGACGGTCCAATGCAACGTACCTGATACGTCTTACGTGGTCATTTACGTCGAAAAGGTATCATTTCAGAACAAAGCACATTACTCTTAATGATACTAAGGATGCACATAAGGTGCAGTCTACAGGAAATTAAACATATGACTCTGATACCAAGTTGACAGGACCCGACTCAAATTTCACTTTGGAATCTGCGTCGAACCTCGTGCGTGTCCGACATAATTCACCATTTTCAAACCACTGAATATATATATATATATATATATATATATTAAATATAGACAGGTAATTAGATATTAGTTAAT